CCTATTTAATGGAAATTAGAATCAAAATTTTAGTAAATTTTGATAAAAGTTAAATAGTTATAAATTCCAAGAAATGTATTATTAAAATTAATTGTTAATTTTGATTTAAATTAAATGTTATATTTCAATCAATACCAAACATGATTATATATATAACTCAAAAGTTGGGGGTACGTGCAAAAGATGGCGAACTTTTCAAAATAGCATTTTACAATGCGTAGAGCGACAAATAATTTCTCTATTATGATTTAATATCTTCATCGAGAAAGACCTTTTCTTTATTGATATACTACAACATGATAATATACGCCAAGACTATGTCTTTGACTGATTCTCAAAATTTGTTTCTCGAAGTTGATCATTCGGGGGAATTACTCAAAAAAATCAAAGGTAGAGTTCAAGTTGCAAGTCGAGAAATCAGATCGACAGAAAAATTTCGAGTTTTTGGACCTTGATAGAACTTGTATCGAACAAATTAAGAAACAACGAACATTCTTCATTTTCTCTCTAGGCACTATTGTTCTTTGAAATTTCGTCACAAAAATCGGTTATCATCTTATGCCTTTTAACATAAAAACAACAAAAATAATGGATATTAGAAAATAATTATTCAACTTTTGTTGTGTGTGGTGTTTACATCTTCCCACTTTTTGTTTGATTGATCATATTTTATGTCCACATTTCAATTTTAAATTCGAGTGGCTTTTTTTTCATTTCTTGTGAAGCCAAATGGCGAAACTTAAGCTATATCTAGTTAAATCCCAAATGCTTGAATCGTGATTTGAAATTTGCATAATAATTTTGCTACAACACCAAAGTAAGTTTTTTTATTATTTTGTTCGATTTACTACTATATTTTAGAGGCATAAAATAGGTCAGCTCAACCCCGTGTCCAAATCGATCATGTCTTGGAAGCCTTGGTCTCGTCTTTGTAAAACAAAGTAAAGCTTTATCAAATCTTAGTATGTTCAATGCATTTCATGGATTGCAATATATGTAAAATCTATGTAGAATGGATTTACAGTCTACGAAGCATTAATATTTAATGAATAGACGGTGAAACAAATATTTGGTCAATGAAATTTGAACTGTAAACCGAACTCATTGAGCATAAAATTTGAACTGGATCATCTATTTTTAGACATTAATGTCAAGTAGAACGGAAGTCTTTGTATTTACATGTCATCCAAATTGCAATTCATGAAATGTATTGGAGATGCTAATTCTCTTAATTTCCTGGGACTTTTTCCTTCATTTAATTGTTTTAATAATTAATAAGACAATATGACTATAGAGCTCCCACGTCTAAATCGAATGGTATATTTTTTTTTTCAATGTTTTAAAAAAGTAAAGCGTGATTAGATGTGAACGTCAAGTGTCAAGATTTACGAGTCTAGGCGTTATTATTGTTTTCTTATTTTTAATATTATTTTAAAATTTAATCGTTCTAAAAATTATTTGATAATTAAAATAATACATGCGAAACATTTAAAATTATATAATACTGTATTTATTTAATAATTCCTACAATTAATCAATTATATGATTTTCTAAGTTCTCGAAATGCAAAATTTAGACTATTTTTCATAGGTTCAACTAGACATGTCCTTAATAATTTTATTGGAACTTGATACATATTTTCGAAATTTTAAATAAAATAATAGGTCTCAAAATCATAATTATATAATGTAGACAATATCGTAACTTAAATTTTATCTTACTTTCTATCGGATAAAGTTGTTTTAAAATGCTAGTTAAACGTCTTTATTTAAAACTCACATTTAATGTATTTTTAACTATTTCGATATCTATTTGGATTATTTGATATGCCTCTATAATGTAGTTCTTGAAATAAGTTTTGAGGTGACATAAGTAATTTGTAAATTCGATTAGCGTACGATCATTGAAATTTTTTTAAAATTAACATATTATCGAAATACTAGTTTTGAACGGCTTACTTTGACAAGTCGTAGTATTTGCTACAATTGATTGTTTCGTACGTCATCAACGATATAGAAAACTAGACCGTGAACACTTCAAAATGATATTAAGAATGCAACATTTCGCCATTACTTGATGGAGAGTTAAGATTTTGTTAAAATACGAGAGAAAAAGAAAAAAATTTAAAATTTATTGTGATTTTGCCCCTATTTGATGGAAATTAAAATCAAAATTTTAGTAAATTTTGATAAAAGTTAAATAGTTATAAATTCCATGAAATGTATTATTAAAATTAATTGTTAACTTTGATTTAAATTAAATGTTATATTTCAATCAATACCAAACATGATTATATATATATAACTCAAAAGTTGGGGCACGTACAAAAGATGGCGAACTTTTCAAAATAGCATTTTACAATACGTAGAGCGACAAATAATTTCTCCATTATGATTTAATATCTTCATTGAGAAAGACCTTTTCTTTATTGATACACTACAACATGATAATATACGCCAAGACTATGTCTTTGACTGATTCTCAAAATTTGTTTCTCGAAGTTGATCATTCGGGGGAATTACTCAAAAATTCGAAGGTAGAGTTCAAGTTGCAAGTCGAGAAATCAGATCGACAGAAAAATTTCGAGTTTTTGGACCTTGATAGAACTTGTATCGAACAAATTAAGAAACAACGAACATTCTTAATTTTCTCTCTTGGCGCTATTGTTCATTGAAATTTCGTCACAAAAATCGGTTATCATCTTATGCCTTTTAACATAAAAACTACAAAAATAATGGATATTAGAAAATAATTATTCAACTTTTGTTGTGTGTGGTGTTTACATCTTCCCACTTTTGTTTGATGGATCATATTTTATGTCCACATTTCAATTTTAAATTCGAGTGGCTTTTTTTTCATTTCTTGTGAAGCCAAATGGCGAAACGTAAGCTATATCTAGTTAAATCCCAAATGCTTGAATCGTGATTTGAAATTTGCATAATAATTTTGCTACAACACCAAAGTAAGTTTTTTTTATTATTTTGTTCGATTTCCTACTATAGTTTAGAGGCATAAAATAGGTCAGCTCAACCCCGTGTCCAAGTCGATCATGTCTTGGAAGCCTTGGTCTCGTCTTTATAAAACAAAGTAAAGCTTTATCAAATCTTAGTATTTTCGATGCATTTCATGGATTGCAATATATGTAAAATCTATGTAGAACGGATTTATAGTCTACGAAGCATTAATATTTAATGAATAGACGGTCAAATAAATATTTGGTCTCCAATACAATCTATTTACAATCCAATATATTTGTCTATGTGTCTTCTATAAATATTAGAATGTAAATAAATAAAATGAAGAGAGAAGGAGAAATCGTGTTCTAGATACAGTGATAAAATATAACAATATCGCTCATAAGCCCATGAATTGGGTCATTCAAATTATGGTGATCGAATACCATAAAAGGTTTAATCTAACGCTGATTGAATTTCAGGTGAAATGATTGAAAGTCAATCTAAGTTTTTATATTAATTATTATTTTAAATTATATATGCAATTTATGTAAAAACAATAATTGATGATATATGTAATTATACAAAAACACTTTATATTTAAGATATATAACCAATAGTTAATGTTTAGTGAAATGTATTGGAGATGCTCTTAATTCTCTTAATTTCCTGGGACTTTTTCCTTCATTTAATTGCTTTAATAATTAATAAGACAATATGACCATAGAGCTCCCACGTCTAAATCGAATTGTATATATTTTTTTTTCAATGTTCTTAGAAAGTAAAGCGTGATTAGACGTGAAGGTCAAGTTTCAAGATTTACGAGTCTAGACGTTATTATTATTTTCTTATTTTTAATATTATTTTAAACTTTAATCATTCTAAAAATTATTTAATAATTAAAATAATACATGCCAAACATTTAAAATTATATAATACTGTATTTATTTAATAATTCCTACAATTAATCAATTATATGATTTTCTAAGTTCTCGAAATGCAAAATTTAGACTATTTTTCATAGTTTCAACTAGACGTGTCCTTAATAATTTTATTGGAACTTGATACATATTTTCGAAATTTTAAATAAAATAATAGGTCTCAAAATCAAAATTATATAATGTAGATAGTATCGTAACTCAAATTTTATCTAACTTTCTATCGGATAAAGTTGTTTTTTACTTGTGTACAAATAAAGTCATTTAGAAATTTGAAACTAAAGTCAAATAAAAGGCTTTTTGTGAAAATTAAAAATAATAATAATAAACTAAAGTCAAATAAAAGGTTTTAAAAAAGATTAATAAAGCACACCTAGACAGTAAGAGGTCAACTTGGCAATTGGCCTTAATTTCGCGCTTACTTTCAAAGCGAGGCAGTTCTCGTATGCCTCTCATTGAGACGTGCTTTTTAAAATACTGATTTTTTCAACCACGTCAACTAGACAGAGTCCTTGCGAGCAATTTTGTATATATTTTCGAAATACTGAAATTTATCACTATACAATTTGGGAGTACTAGAAATTTTCTCTCCTATCGATTGTACTGGTCTACTGGAGATGATTTTTTTATTTTTTATTTTTTTCAGATATTATGTATTTTTATTTACGTGACAATTTTTAAACAATTCACGTTAGTATTGGAGATTCTCCTTGGTAAGCACTAAAAAGGTGAAACTTCTCAAATATGCAGTGAAATCAATTAGGCTTACTAAAATTTTAATTTTCATATACCAAGATTATTCTCTTCGAGAGGAAAAAATTAACGTTGATTACCTACGAAATATACGAGTTTGTGTATTCTCAAAAGTTCTCCACTTGGCTAAATTAGGAAGGAAACTCTTCAACTTGGCTAAAGAATTCAGTCTAGTTACGTTGAAACTTTGCAGATATTAATAACTAATAAGCAATAAGATCTGCCGACTACGGACGGCAGTGTGAGGTTTGAAAATGACAAGGTTGTCTGAATTCTCTCATGCTTAAAAGAGAGGCCAAATTTCTCCTTTGGCAAACTCACCCAACTCATCTTTCAAAATTCATTTGCTCAAACTATGGGATCATTACTCAGTTGCTGTGAGTCGGAAAAGGTTGAAGAAGCTGCAGGGTATGAACAAGAACAACTAAATCTTTTTATCGGAATTATATATAACTAGATATTATTTTTCTTTGCATCAGATTAAATTGTCGACTCTAAGGCCTTTTAATTAGTAGGTTTGCAGTGGGCGGAGGGAATAGCACTCCATGGAGAATTTTCACATACAAGGAGCTGCATGCCGCCACTAATGGCTTCAGTGAGGATTACAAGCTCGGAGAAGGAGGGTTTGGAAGTGTCTACTGGGGCAAAACATCCGACGGTCTCCAGGTATGTTAAACCATCTCGTTTAAGAGTTTGAGAATAAGTTGTGCTACATGTACACCTCCGTTTACCACTTCGTTTACAAAATTTACACTTGGAAAATCTCACAAATTCTTCCACAACAAACATATTTAATCCTACCGCTGCCATTCTACCGCCTAGGCATCTGTACCCCAGGGCGGCAAGAATGAGTTTTGACATTAAAATTAATGAAGTCCTTTTGATATCCAAAAACTACTCAGCTCGAGAACCTAGAGGTTCTTTACGATGGGTCAATCCAACAACATTTTCATTACACCGTCACAATGCACGTCAAATTCATTTTTTATCATAAGGCGAAGACGTGCACAAGTTTCATAAAGTTTATAATGTGGGGGTGAACCAAGGATTTTTACACTGATATCATATTAAAGCACATCATCCAAAAGTTTAAATTGTTTGAGAAGCTATTATATATTAGTGGTTCTCTCTTCGTGATCAGATTTTAGATTTAGAAGATGAATGGTAATATAATGTCAAACGTGTCTTATAATTAAATTGTACCTTGTTCTTCCACATTCAGATAGCAGTAAAGAAATTGAAGTCCATGAATTATAAGGCTGAAATGGAATTCGCGGTAGAAGTTGAAGTTCTTGGAAGGGTACGCCACAAGAATCTACTAGGTCTGAGAGGTTACTGTGCCGGAGATGATCAACGCCTCATTGTTTATGATTACATGCCGAATCTCAGTTTGCTTTCTCATCTACATGGCCAATTTGCTGGAGAATCTCAACTCGATTGGAAACAGCGCATGAAGATTGTCCTCGGCTCCGCTGAAGGCCTACTGTAAGATTCAACCATACGTATGCAAACTGAAATAGAACATTTAAAAGCTTGTTATATAGTCAAGAATATTGGAACGCAATACTAGATATAAATTACACAGGACAAGAGACAAAGTTTAAACTTTTTTTCTTTCTTGATATTGTCCAATATTATCGAGGGCAACATACAAACATGTTGTTAACGTCTGAATTCCAGAAAGAACAGAAGTCACATTTCTATTTCCATTATAACACCAGGTAAAGGAATAAAAGATTTTGATTAAGGAATTCATTCTCGGAGAATGAAAACAACGAATCATAGTCATCATTTGAGGAAGTGTTCTGTTACTAATCAGATACAACTTTGCAATTGGAACCTTTTTATATAACTTTAGCTTCATAATTTGTCTGCATATATATGCATTTCCATTCTTACTATTATAGAAACCGTCATTGCTTTGAAGGAGTGAAATCATCTAAAAGTTGCTTGGATTTTGAAAGGCTGATTGGATTTGGCTTGAATTTGTTGTAGGTACTTGCATCATGAGGTGACACCGCATATTATTCACAGAGACGTCAAGGCTAGTAATGTGCTTTTGGACTCAAATTTCGAGCCATTAGTGGCTGATTTTGGGTTTGCTAAGCTGATCCCAGAAGGTGTTAGCCACATGACAACACGCGTAAAAGGCACTTTGGGCTACCTGGCACCGGAATATGCAATGTGGGGAAAAGTTTCAGAGAGTTGTGATGTGTACAGTTTCGGAATTCTACTGCTAGAAATTGTCACCGGAAGAAAGCCTATTGAGAAACTCCCCGGTGGTATTAAGCGAACCATCACAGAGTGGGCTGAGCCATTGATAACCAAAGGAAGGTTCGAAGATCTGGTGGATCCGAAGCTACGGGGAAATTTTGATGAAAATCAATTAATTCAAACAATTAATATTGCTGCGCTGTGTGTTCAAAGTGAGTCCGAGAAGCGGCCCACAATGAAGGAAGTTGTTGGATTATTAAAAGCGTACGAGCCAAAGACAAAGCCAATGAGAATTAAAAGTGTAAGGTATGGAGAAGATTTAATGACTCTTGATCAGGCTAGTGATGAGGATAATAGTATTAACGAAGATGAAAGCAGTGCATATGGCGTATTTGGTGCGTTAGAGTCGCAGAAGATGAACGACCCTTGCAAACGTTATGGTGACAGAAGAATGAGCAAACATATATGAAACTTTATCCACATAATTTGACATATACATTAATACTAAAAGCAATGCCAGTTCCTCCACCTGTGAGAATTTGGATCTTGATGTAGTTGTTGGTATTGTTTTATTCTTTCCTTTTTTGCTCTAAGTACTAGTGAACTCATGTTCTTTGCATTAGTTTGATATATTCCTATTGATGGACAACTTGTCCCCACTATGTGCTCTTTTAATGAGAATGACGCTTAAGAATGTAGAAACTATAATCGTACAACTTATCAAATGTTTTAAGAAGAACGGATTTCGCACGTGGGATCACGAAAAAGTTCGATTGTCATGAAAGTTGAGGTTTCCATTGTTAGACTTTAATTTTGATCTATCATGTGTAGGTAAATAACAACATATAGATCAAATGCAGAAAAATGAAGAACATGAACTAACCTCCAGCCATTGATGTTTAAACTGCAGAATTTCAGATTGTATTTGGTGCTTCTAAACCTTCAAGAATTCCCTGAGATGGTGTAATTACATGATAGAGAACTCAAGACTTAGGGACCAATACCACTACTTCCCTTTTATAAACTTCTTCCCATCAAAGAAGTTATCTGAAGTGGTTACCACGATAGTTAAGAGAAAGTGGTTAATTTGCTGTAGATACGGGAAATGTTGGACCATTTTAAAATTTGAAAATATTAACATTCTCCCACTTGGTCCACACATTTCACTTGATATGATATCCAAAATCCATCCATTCTCATTCTCAAAAAACAATAATACATGAATCATGGCGATAGGTTCTTTAATAACGAGTATTATCTTCCATGTATCACATTGTATTACATTTCTCAAATATTACTCCATATGTTGTAAAACTATTTAATGAATAAACCTTATGTTTATTCTAGGTCCAAACATCAATGATGCTTCTCAAAATAAATGTGTACACAAGAAAAATAAATATGAGAAAACATTACAAATATAGTTTCATTAAATTAACATTCGTTCCTACAACGAAAATCATACAAAGGAACCAAGTCTCATTCTATCTACATGATCCTTAAATTTTAATGGTGACATGTCTTTTATCAAAGGATCTGCAATCATTAATTCAATGTTAACGTGTTCAATAATCATTGTTCTCTTTAACACGTTCCCTTGTGGCCAGATACATGATGTCGATGTGCTTGCTTCGACTACCACTTTTGTTGTTCTTAGCCATAAAAGCTGCAGCCGAATTATCACAATATATCCTCAATGGCCTAGAAATTGAATCCATAACTCTAAGTCTAGAAATAAAACTTTTCATCCATACACCATGCGAGGTAGCCTCAAAACAAGATACGAACTCAGCCTCCATAGTGGAAGTAGCAGTCAACGTCTATTTTGCGCTTCTCCAAGATACAGCTCTACCAGCAAACATAAAGATGTATCCTGATGTTGATTTTCGTGAATCAACACAGCCAGCAAAGTCAGAATCAGAGTAGCCAATCACTTCTTTGGTCCCCTGAAGGTACCTCATCACTTTCTTTCCAGCTCTCAAGTGGTCCATACCTGGATTACTCTGATATCTTCCCAACATCCCAACAACAAATGCAACGTCAAGTCTTGTGCATACCTGAGCATACATTAGGCTTCCAACAGCAGAAGCATAAGGAATTTTCTTCATTTGTTCCCTTTTAAGTTCATTTTTCTGGCATTGGTTCAAATTTTTCATATCACCCTTCACAATGGGAGTTATATTTGGTGAACAATCTTTCATCCGAAATCTCTCTAAAACTTTGTTGATATAGGGCTCTTGAGACAGACCCAAAATATCTTGAGATCTGTCCTTTTAGATCTATAATACCAATGAAATAAGATGTATCACCCATATTCTTCATCTCAAAATTTTTAGAGAGAATTGTTTCACCTCGTGTAGCAAACCCTTATCATTGGTTACAAGTAAAATGTCATCCACATACAGAATAAGGAAACAAATATTACTCCCACTGACCTTCTGGTATATACATTGATACATAATGTTCTCTACAAATCCAAATAAAGAGATAACATCATGAAATTTCAAATACCACTGACGAGAAGCTTGTTTCAATTCATATATAGATTTCTTGAGCTTGCACACCAAATGCTCACAACCACTAGAGGAAAATCATTCTGGTTGTTTCACGTAAACCTCTTCCTCTAGATCTCCATTAAGAAATGCCATTTTCACATCCATTTGTTATAATTCCAAATCGAAATATGCAACCAATGACATGATAATACGAAATGAATCTTTCTTTGATACAGGAAAAAAGGTCTCGTTGTAGTCGTTCCTTTTGAGTGAATCCTTTAGCAACGAGTCTTGTTTTATACCTTTCAATGTTACCTAATGGGTCTTTCTTCATTTTATAGACTCACTTACATCCTATGGCTTTTATCAGGCAACTCAATAAGATCACATACTCCATTAGATGCCATAGAATCCATCTCATCTTTCATGGCATCATACCATAAACTTGATTCTTTACAATTCATGGCTTGTGAAAATGTTTCAGGATCATCTTCGGCTCCGATGTTATAGTCCGATTCTTGCAGATACACAACATAATCACTAGTTATCGCTGATTTCCTTACTCTAGTAGATCTCTTTAATGATGTATCGACATTTTCTTAAGGATCATGTTGTTCAACCGGTTGTTCAACAATTTCTGGCAATTCTTGAACATTTTGATCTACTAAATTATCATCAGCAGCTTGTGGAACTTCAAGGATTGGTTGTCCAACACCTATTTGAACTTAAGGAATGTAGTGAACAATAATCAAACTGTCACTTAAAGTGGAAAGTTGAGTATCGATATGATTCCTTTCGGATACAATGTCCTGGAATCGATCGCTCTCACTAATCAAGTCATTCTCAAGAAACTTCGCATTTCTTGACTCCACAATCCTAGTATTGTAAGATGGACAATAAAATATGTACCCTTTAGACCTTTCGGCATATCCAATGAAATATCCACTAATGGTCCTTGGATCTAGCTTCTTTTCTAGTGGGGTGTAAACTCTTACTTCAGACGGGCATCCCCAAAGGCGTATATATTGTAAATTCGGTTTCCAACCTTTCAGCAATTCAAATGATATCTTTGGGACAGCTTTGGTTGGAACTCGGTTTAATATATACACTACCGTTTTAAAAGCTTCGGTCCACAAGGATTTAGGAAGTTTAGAGTTACTTCGCATACTTGTCACCTTGTCCATTAAAGTTCGATTTCTTCTTTCTGCTACACCATTTTGGTCTGAGGAACCAGACATGGTGTAATGGACCAGGTGCTTGTCAATCATCGGTGTATAGATCATAATATTCTCCACCTCTATCTGATCTCACGATCTTAATTTGCTTTCCACATTGTTTCTCTACTTCGGCCTTAAAAACTTTAAAGGCATCTAGTACTTCGTTCTTGTGATGATGCAAGTAAATATACATATATTGTGAATAATCATCAATGAAAGAGATGGAGCATTTTGGACCACACAAGTCTATGTCTGGACTACAAATATCTGAATGTATGATCTCTAATATGTTTGTACTTCTTTTAGCACCTTTCTTGGACTTGTTGGTCTGCTTTCCCTTAATGCAGTCCACACAAGTGTCGAAATCAGTAAAATCCAAAGTACAAAGTATTCCATCATTTACTAATCTCTTAATCCTTTCTATGAAGATATGTCACAATCTCTGGTGCCACAACCTAGAGGAATCTTCATTCATAACACGTCGTTTGATACCAGTGTAAACATGCATAGCATTGTAAGTAGTATTATTTTTGCAAATTAATAGAAAAAAGACCATCAGACAATGTACAATTTCCAACAAGATTAGATTTATAAAATAAACTAAAATATGTTTCTAAAAAATTAAAGGAATATTTCAAAGGTACAAGTCATGAACTGAAATCAAGTTCCTAGCAAAACTTGGAATATAAAATGTCTTTTCTAAATTCAAAATAATTAAAACTAAATTGCATGTTCCAAGTGCCTCCAAATGTGAGCGCATCTTGTTTCCTAAATAGATGCACTGCTCATTTTCCACTGGCTTCCTTAGATTTCACAACCCTGCAAAGTATTTGAAATATGGATTGTAGAACCAGAATCAATCCACCATATGTTATAAACAACATCAACCATATTGGATTCATAACAGACAAATGAGATTGGTTTACCTTTCTTCTCAAGCCATTTCTAGAATTTAGTGCAATCCTTCTTCATGTGCCCCTTCCTTTTGCAAAAGAAACACTTCGATTCCTTTTTTATTCTACCTTGGGGCAGTATTTTACCTTTTCCCTTCTTTTTGGCTTCGTTTTCATTCTTTCCTTTCGTTACCATCAATGCACTTTCACCTATTTCCATTTTCGGCCTCCTTCTTCTTGAACACACATGGCCAAAAGTTCATTAATTGACCACTTATCCTTATGCGTGTTATAGGATATCTTGAAGGGACAATATTGATGTGGAAGAGTGTTCAAAATATAGTTCACAAAGAAAGACTGGGACATATCGACCTCAAGAGTCTTCAATTGAGCTGCAATGTTCCTCATTTGCATTATGTGCTCACGCACACCTCTCACAGTAGTGATCCTCATGGATGAAAATTTCAATCAAGGTGCTGGCAAGTACTTTATCTGAATTCTCAAACTGCTCATCAATAGCCTTCAACAATGCCTTGACATTTTTATGCTCTTTGATGGAACCACGAATACCAGCAGAAATCTTAGTCTTTATGATTATCGTACTGAGGCAATTGGATCGCTCTCATCGTTCATTAAGAGCAATTTCATACGGAGTGCTGATTGGAGTGATTTCTGGTTTGTCTTTCCTAATGACATAATCAATGTCCATCCACTCAAAATGAAGAAGAATTATCTCCTTCCATACTTTAGAGTCATCACACTTTAATTCAAGAATATCACGACGAATATCAAAGAAATTAGCAGGTAATACGAACTCAGCCTCCATAGTGGAAGTAGTAGTCAACGTCTATTTTGCGCTTCTCC